ATCAACATTTTGTAAATAAGGATTTTGAGTTTAAGGTTTAAATTTGATCGTAAGAGAGGACTTGGTAGATGTAATCTGGAGTTTAGTTTCTTTCTTTTGTCGAATATGTGGTTTTTCCAAGTTAACCTTTTGTCGAAAATGAGTCCTAAGTATTTAATTTGGTTGGTTTGGGGTAATAATTGGTTACAAAGTTTGACTGGTGGACAAATGTCTGGGCGAAGGGAGGAAGTAATGTGGCTGGATTTGTTTGTGTTCATTTTTATTTTCCATAAACATAAATATAAACCTAACCTAACCAGTTTTCGAGTAAGTTGAGGTGGTGTTGGAGTTTGAAGCTTGTTATTGTAGGATCAGAATCGGTGGCTAGGATACAAGTGTCGTCGGCAAAAGTATTGAGGATGGTGCAAGAGGTTGTAGGTATATCTGCAGTGTAAATTAGGTATAAAAGAGGAGAAAGGTCACTGCCTTGGGGTACACCGGCGTTAATCATAAATTGGTTTGAAATTGAGTTGTTTAGATTTACTTGGAAAGAACGATGAGTAAGATAGGATTTGAGTATTAAATAATATGGGGCTGGAAAGTTTGTTTTTAGTTTGTGGAGGAGTCCGTTGTGCCATACTTTGTCGAACGCTTGAGCGACGTCGAGGAAGACACCCGAGCAGTATTTTTTTTTGTTCGAGAGAAGATGAGATGGCATCGGTGAGACGGTGCAGGGGGTGAATAGTAGAATGGTAAGCCGGAAGCCGTACTGTGAGTTAGGAATGATTTTATTTATTTCGGAGATATTTTGGAGGCGTTTTAATAGAAGTTTTTCAAATAATTTACCCAGCGATGGGAGGAGGCTGATTGGATGGTAAGAAGATGTTGTATTTTTGGGTTTGCCAGGTTTGTGTACTAGTATGATTGTTGAAATTTTCCAGAGTGGTGGGAAATAAGAAAGTCTGAGCATTGCATTGAAGATGTGGGTAATGTTGAGAATTGCTTTATTTGTAAGTTGTTTAAGTATATTGTTTGTAATGAGATCGTGTCCAGGGGCTTTTCCATTTTTTAGTTTGCTGATTGTATATTTAATTTCATTTGGAGTGAAGTGTTTGGGAGGTGTTGAAGTGGGTAGAGCCATTTATTATTTTTAACATTTTTTTTTACTAAAATGTGTAGTTTTTTACGCTGAATACGTTGGTTAGATCAAAACTTACCTATCATACTTTCTTTTGAAGTTTTTGGACAAAAACAATAAAAATAGAATTTTCAAAATCAATCCAAAATTCTTTTGAAAATTAGTTGAAAATCAACTTTTTCATTATTTTATTTTTTTTAATATATACAGTTCTAGATGAAAAAGTTTTTAGTGAAGTCAGAATTAGTTTATCGGACTTGGTTTCAGAATTACAGATATTTAAAATCTTACCTAATTTATGACGTTCCGCAAATATCTAATGCAGGTAAATAGGTAGGTATAATAGATCATTATATGCCTCCGAGCCCTGATCTTCCCGCCGCGCTGGAAGAGGGCTCGTCTCGTGCTGCTGAGGAAAGGCCCTGACAAGCCGCCCGAAGCTCCGTCCTCGTACAGGCCAATCTGCATGTTGGACACGCCCGGCAAACTCCTGGAACGCCTCCTCCTCCAGAGGCTCGAGAAACACCTCGACGCCCACGGGGGCCGAAGAAGGGCACCGAACCAGAAGGGTTCAGAAAAGGAATCGGCACGGAGTCGGCAGTCGCCAAGGTCCTGGAGGTGGCCGCCCTCACCGCCAACGTCCGAGGCCAAAAGGACATGTGCATCCTCGTGACGCTGGACGTAAGAAACGCGTTCAACACCCTGAAGTAGCCGGTCATCGACGCAGTACTCAGAAAGAAGATGACGCCGGAATACCTTGTAGAAATGTTCCGCTCCTGGCTGTCCGACAGGTGCCTGCTGACCGGAACAGAACTGACCGCCAGGCCCGTAACGTGCGGCGTTCCGCAGGGCTCCGTCCTCGGCCCGGCGCTCTGGAACGTGTCCTACGACGACCTGCTGGAGATGCAAGTCCCACCGGGTGTCCACCTGGTGGGCTTCGCGGACGACCTGGCCGTCGTCGGAGTGGCCAGGACGGGCCCACTGCTCGAAGACGCACTCAACCCCACGTTGGCCGCCATCGACGAGTGGATGCAGCTGAGGGGCCTCCAGCTGGAGCACCAAAAGAGCGAGGCCGTGCTCCTGACAAACAGACGCGCGTTCGTGGTGGTAGGGGGACACCCGATCGAAATTCAGAAGAGCCTCAGGTACCTGGGTGTCATCTTGGACCAACGGCTCACCTTCGCTCCGCAAATTATCACCGTCGCCAAAAAAGCCGCCCGCTCTGCCGCGGCTTGGGCAAGATTGATGCCGAACATAAAAGGACCGTGTCAATGGAAGCGTAGACTCTTGGCTTCCGTGGTGGAAAGTCAGCTGTTATACGCATCTCCCATCTGGGCCGACAAAGTCACCGCCGTCGCAAGAACCAGCGCCATCCTGATCCGCCCACAGAGGACAGCTGCCCTGAGGGTGATCCGTGCCTACAGGACAGTGTCCGACGAAGCCGCCCTGCTCCTGGCAGACACCGTTCCCGCCGATCTCGTGGCCCTTGAGCGGGGTAGGATCAGGGACCGGCTGAGCGCCGTCCCAACCCCCGGCGAGCCCCGGATTTCCAAAGCCGCCATCAAAAAGGAAGAACGACAGGTGACCATCGAACTGTGGCAGGTTCGCTGGGAGTCATCTGACAAAGGAGCCTGGACACGGCGAGGGCTGCCGTCAGGAGGTGGTTGGAGAGGACCGTGCCCAGGGTACCCCTGTCATTCCACATGACGCAGGTCCTTTCAAACCACGGATGCTTCCAACAGTACCTGAGGAGGATGGCCAGGGCAGCCAACGCGGCGTGCTGGCACTGCCCGGACCGTAACGATTCGGCAGAACACACCATTTTCGTCTGCCCTCGCTGGAACGGCCTCCGGGACGAACTCGGCGCCCACCTGGGACACCCGCCGAGCGCCGACGACCTCCCGGAGCTCTTATGCGGACCCGACTTTCACCTTCTGCCGGAGGACGCTGAGACCAGGGCCACCGTCTTGTACAACGCCGGAGAAGGCTTCAGGTTGTTTTACAAAACCACCGAAAACATCCTGTCGCTCAAAGAGGAAGAGGAGCGCGCTAGGCAAGCGGCTGGAGGCAGGGCACCAGCTCCCATCCGTTTCGTCCAACCGAGCCAGTGAGCAGTCTCAGTCTCAGCGACCGATCCAGCAACAGTAAAAAAGCAGCAACTAATTAATTAACTTTTCGTTTGTAGCCAAAGGCAGATAACCGTTGTGTACATTTGTTAAAATTGTCTTTTGTGATAGCCGGCGAGTGGGAGATTGGCCCACCGCCGCTAATTTGTTATATATTATGTTTTGTTGTTGATATTTTCAATAAACGATGGGGGCCGGAGGTGAAGTAATGCTAACGCGGTTCCGCCTCCGGCCTTCGATTCAACCAGAAAAAAAAATAAAAAAAATAGATCATTAATAGATGGCAGAAGACACAAACACATATTTAATTGTCAATTAGATATAATATAAACAAATATAATATATTATTAGCCAAGATAAAATATTCATATTAGTTATTACCTACTTTGTCCGATAGAATAAGCTACTTGATCGTCAGTAGGTACAATATTACTTTGCCAAAATAGCATCATTAATAGCAGAAAACACACACCCATATTTAATTGGCAATTAGATAAAATATAAATAAATGGAATATAATATGTGATTATAATATATTATTAGACAAGAAAAAATATGCATATTATCTACTTTGTCCGATAGAATAAGCTACGTGATTGTCATTACGATCGATTACTCAGTTCGTGAAACAAGTATTTTGTGTATTTTGTTTTACTATAGTGAAAATGACATCAATTATTGAAATTTACAATATGTTTGAACATAATGTAACGGGCTGTGACTACGTATATATTAATAATAGTAATAATATATAAGTAATATATTATATTATGTGGTATTAGGTAAAGTACGATTATAACATATATATATATAAATATATTATGTTCAATAATAGACATAAATGCTGCAAGGAGCGCGTAACCCCGATAATAGTAATATTATGAGCATCCGAACGGCCACATCGATAAGAACTAATTAATGGTACAGCGCGAACACGTGATAGGTATACGCGCGCAATTTCCATATTCTAGGAAAGACGAAAAAGCCGTAAACAGCACAAATAGATAACTTTGGAAACATATAATCCGTAATTAACATCATTTTTCGTAAAAGACGTCAGAAATGACCTCAGGCAGATGCGGCGCGTGTACTATTTTTATACTAAAATGCCATAGGAGGGATCTATTAGGAATACCGACGAAATACGTCGATGGACAAGTGTCCATCAGACGAACACCAGCCGAGACGACGAGCACCAGCAGAGCAGCCACAAAGTCGATACTAAGTCACATCCCGTTTACCACATTTTTATAAATTAATTATTTGGACTTAGTCTATTTTATGTGTTAATTAAATACAACTGAACTATCTTTATAAAATCAACTTGTTATTTAATTCAAAATACGACCAAAACTGAGTGGTTGGCACGTTACAATAACATGAATGGCCCGCTGTCCATGTCAGTATTAAATATTTTATAGTCCTGGGGCCTTATTGCAAATAATAATGTTATTAAATGTAATAAAGGCCACTTTTTAGTTCTGTGCCCAAGCACAGCTTATTGTGACGGTTTTGTTTGGCGATGTAAACAATCGTACACTGATAGTAACAAAAAAAAAGTTAAGTGCGATTTTTACCAGTCGATTCGAAAAAACACTTTTTTTTCAAAATCGCATTTGTCAATTTTTCAAATTGTGACATTTGCGTACTTGTGGACTGAAAAAGTGTCCCTCGAATTTATTCGTAAGCAAATCGATATTGCTCGGCAATCATCGGTTGATTGGGCGTCCTTCCACCGAGAAGTCGTATTTGATGGGATGATACTACGACATCAAAAAATCGGTAAGTAGAAGATTAGTTACTCATTCAATTTGCAAATTACTTTAAGCAGTCATATATAGTACCTATCCCAGCGCCGTATTTGCAAATACCACGCGCATTGTTTGCAATTTTTTTAAATTATTACATATTAAAATTTCTATTGACCCTGTTACCTACTTGAGGTGGTTTTGCATACCAAATCGAGGGATATTTTCGATTTGCGGAGCGTAGAGACGAGTTCCGAAACGCATATTGTCACTGCCCACACCACGCGCATTGTATTCAATATTTTAAATTTTATAATTTTAAGCGCATTATTCTTAAAAATACTTCGTATGTAGGTGGAACTGGGAAAACAGTAGAAATTGATGAGTCCAAATTCGGGAGGCGAAAATACCACAGAGGGCATCGCGTTGAAGGCCAGTGGGTATTTAGTGGAGTTGAACGTGAAACGGGTGGTTGTTTCCTTGTACCGGTGGAGAAACGTGACAAGGAAACTTTGTTGGCAGTCATAAAAGACTGGATTTTGCCGGGAACATTAATAATTAGTGATTGTTGGAAAGTAAGTTCGTGCTTTAATTGATTTAACTCAACAGTTTTAAATTTCAATTGCTTCAATCTTTTTAGAGTTATGACTGTTTAAAAGATGAAGGGTATAGACATTTGACTGTAAATCATTCGATAGAGTTTAAAAACCCGGAAACTGGAGCACACACCAACAACGTTGAAGGAATGTGGCGTCATGCCAAAGCTTCAATGACCCAGTATTCTCGGAAAAAAACATTTTTACGCTGGTTATTTGGCCTAATACATGTTTTTAAAGGTTTACCGTTCATCTGCTCTAAACCCTTTAGTTGAATTTTTCAAATTAGCGACTCAAGTGTACACTCCGAATGGAAATATTGTAGAACAAGAAAGTAAAGAAAATAATGAAGAATCAGATTCAGAAACTGAGGCAGATGATTTTTTTAAATTTTTTTTTTTATTATTATTATTAGGTAATGTTTTACAACAATGTTTTAATGTACAAATATGATATTATTATATAGGTAATTATAGATTTTATAAAATTAGTTAAGCATAATTAGGCATAGTTACCTACTATCTTACTATCTAAAATCGAATAATACTATAGTGGTCAACTAATGAGCTAATATGGACGCCCGCGTTTGAGACGTCTTTATTTTTCCGCAGGACTTCGAGTTTGGCGACCGGAGCCGGAAGGCGTACGGAGCTTCTATAGACCTAAGTTACTCTAAATGGCGACCGGAGCCGATAGGCGACGGGAGCGAGGTCCCTTGAGTTTGAAGACCAGAGCCACTATACTTGTGATACTTCAACTAACAAGGTTAAAATTACTTGTTAGGTCATCCGTCTGCCCGAAGGGCAGGTATGCTCTCCCCCCCCGCGACTCCGAAGGGGTCGCCACCCCTCCCCCTCCCCCACAGGTTTGCTATTTAAGCCCCGGGGGGTTTAGGGGCCGAGCCCCCATCCAGCGAGAGGTCCGCAGGACCTCGAGTAAGGCGACCGGAGCCGGCAGGCGTAGGGAGCTTCTATAGACTTATGTTACTCTAACTGTCGACCGGTGCCGATAGGCGAAGGGAGTCACTATATACTTATGTAAACAGGTCAAGGAGTGAAAACACAAATTAACTATGCATACAGACTCGTAACTTTTATTATAAAAATATCGACGTTCTCCGCGGGGCATTATAGTAGTGTGGCGCGCATGCGTATAAACGTAAAATCCCAAACTTTGGAAGGCTGTAACTTCCAAACGAAGTCCGTCCGGCCTTTTTTTATTTTAGATTCTTATAAAGCACCTAAAAACACATATTTAAAAAAAAACAAAACCTAAAAAATCGATAGGTTGCTAAACTAGAATTGTTCCAAAATAATAATAAATAAAAACTCAATAGACGAAATAAGGTGTTTGAGCTGGTTATATTAATTTGGTGCCAATAAAGCTCGGACGGGCGTAAAACTCGGTCTTAATAAAAATAACGGCAATAGTTATAATAACAATAATCTGAACAGACGGTGATAATAATAATATAAAAATGCATATTAAAACATATTGTACCGGCCAGATACACAAAATACTAATAATCATACGTACATATTTGTATACACGGTAAAGGAATCAGACACCCGTCGATGTCTGATTACCCGTTTTCATCGCTAACGTCACCTTTTCGATGGCATCGCCGGGGAAAACTTCAACGGCCGCTACTCCATGTTGTCAAAAAACACAACACCGTGGTAAACAATAATAACCCCCGGATTATAGTCCCGACTAGTGTCACCGTAGGCAGCAGGAAAACGAAGAAAGATAGACCGACGAGTGGCGGTAGTCAGTCGCCGGTCTTGGATACAATAAATTGGTGAGGCCGGTAATAAATATAATAGTGTGATTGCGGCAGAGGTGTTATAGTCGGTGCGGCGGTGGTGCGGGAGGTTTTGTACACTGACGCGCGGCGCTTTACCAATACCCGATAATATAGTAATATAATATAACATATATTTACAACTGACCTTAACCTGCACTGAACGTTACACTTTGTATGTTATCTTATAATTAATTTAAATGAGGTGACAACATCAACCATTGCAACTTAAAAGATAAATGTATATTGTGTTTAATACACATACCTACACATATTGTGTAAATTGCGTAAAGCAAATAAAAAATTAAAAAAATAGTAAGTAGGTGTGTGTTTAATTATTATTATACATATATAAATTACTACTAAGTAATTGCTCAATATAAAGTCTTTCTGTCAATGATTGGTGTTGTCATTATATAGTAATGTGTACTAAATTCGAGTTATAATATTATTAACAGCATTTTAAAAATTTTACTTTTGTTTTAAGTCTGGGGTTATTGGAAAGTTGGTTTCAATTTTTTGAATACATGTTATATCTTTACTCATATTTTGCAAAACTGCAAAACGACAATTTTGATTTAACTGTATCATCATTTTGGAATAGATTTTTCATAGTCCTGGGCTTAAAACTTGAAAGTAAAATTTTATAATGGTTCATAATATTAACAGTGACGCTGAAGTCCTAAATTTTAGTTAAGCGATTTTTGTATAATCTATACATATTTAATAAAATATTGGATGCACAAATATTTTTTTTTTCAAAGATACATTTTATTGTTATTTGTGATTTTATTTATTTACGTTGTATACTCAAATGTAAAGAAAATTAATAAAATTAATATGTGTATGTACAAACCTTGTTGCAGCTCTAGAGTTTTTTCCGGTTTTGTTGTAACAAGCCAACATGTCAATCTTTTCCTCATTCGAATAATTCATTTTAAAATTAAGAAAAAAAGTTATTTTGTAATTTAATAAATTAACAAGGTGTACTACTAATAAAGTAATAACTGTAGGACTGACCTAATAACCATTAATATTATCAACATTGGGAATTTCCTTTATTGTGGGAAATATTTGTAATACATAAATAAAAAAACTATTTTTTAAATATAAATAAATATATATAAATAAATTATTAATAAATAACACAATGTGTATGTGCTTATTATTTTAACTCTTTGAAGCATGGTGGTAAATTGCATCGACCACCTAAATTTTTAAATTTTTGCATGGTGGTTATGACTACTAACCACCTCAAGGAAATAATTTTATCTTATTTACGCATAGTGGTTAGTGAACACTACCACCTCAATTGGTTAGTAAATATACCAACCTTTTGATTTATAAATAGTTGTATTTACCCAACTGTTTACATTGTGTGTCATAGCATACAATACACGGTGTTGTAGATGCTTATCTTTATCGTCCCCGTTATATAAATTAAAAAAGCAATTTTTGTTTGTAACGTCTTTGATATATGTATTGATAAGTATATTTTTCATTCATATCAGTTTCTATCACATAGCAACAATCACTGACTTAAAAATTAATACTTTTTCGTGGTTAACAGCCGTAACCACCATTCAAAATATGCACATTATTGATAACTGATAAGTGATAAGCATTTATAAATATTTAAAAATTATACTTTTCACTTTGAAATTTCAAATTTGAATCATATTCTAAAAGTTTCAAAGATGTCACGTCGTACAATATTGTCGCAAAAAGATGTGGTTCAATATCTTGAAGAAGATTTTCCATCAAGTTCTGAACTGGAATCAGATGCCGATGACACTGACGATGATCCAGATTATGGAAAAGAATTTGTTTTGAATTTTTCGGACAGCGATTCTGACGATTCAAATAATTTGAATGATATTGTTTTACCATCTAAGTCATTAGCAACTTGTGTATTTTCAACTACAACGTAAGTTTGCGAAATATAATATTATAAATGGTACTGAAATCTTATTTTCTTAGGACACCATCTAGGAATAGACCAAAAAATAACTCAGTAACACCTGTCCATTATCAACAGCTCCAAGAAAGTTTGGAATTTGTGTCTCCAACTCATTCGTAAGTTTATATAATATATAAACAATATTACAAATTTATAGTAATATTTCATATTAAAATTATTAGTATTATTATTTTGTTAATATTTTTATTTATTTTCACAGAAATGTATCAAGTCGAGTATCAATTGCTTCACCATTAAATTTAAATATAACCCCACCATCACCATCAACTTCAACGGTTCAGTACAATATACAGAATATAGTAATACCTAACCAACCTCTACAAGTGCCTACTTGGTCTAAAACTGTTTCTATGTTTGAAGAAGATGCATTTAATGAAAATAATGTTGGAGTTACAGAATATATAACAAGTATGTCAGATATTACTCCAACAAATATATTTTTAAAACTTTTTCCTGAGACTCTTTTAGAACATATTTCATTTCATACAAATTTGTATGCAACTCAAGCTGGAAAACCGTACACACCTACTACTCCAAATGAAATAAAACATTTTTTTGCAATTAATATGTTTATGTCCGTGAAAAAACTTCCTAGCTACAGAGACTATTGGTCAAGTGCCACTGATTTCCATGATTATTTTATTTCTAAAATAATGCCAATGAATAGATTTGGATGGATTCTTTCAAATTTACATTTTAATGACAACTCTTTAAAAAAAAAAAAGGGGAGAAATAGACTATGATAAATTATATAAAATTAGGCCACTTTTAAATTGTTTGAGTGAAACATTTAAAAAATCATATCGACCACATCAAAAATTAGCTGTAGATGAAAGTATGGTTAAATTTAAAGGTAGATGTTCCATGAAACAATATATGCAAAATAAACCAATTAAGCGTGGTTTTATAATTTGGATGCTTTGCGATCAATCAAGTTATAACTTAAAATTTGAAATTTATACTGGAAAATGTAGTAGCAATGTAGTGGAAACAGGACTTGGTGCTAAAATAGTGTTAAATTTAATGAATGAATTTGCTGGCAAAAATCATATAGTATACATGGATAATTATTTTAGTAGTTATAATTTATATGAAATTCTGAAACAAAATAATATTTTTGCAGTAGGTACAGTAAATTCAAACAGGAAAAATTTACCAAAACTATCAGATGATAAAAAAATGATGAGAGGAGACTTTGACTGGAACACTAGTGATACAAATATCACAATGTGCAAATGGAAAGATAAAAGAAGCGTTCATTTACTTTCATCACGTTCATTACCTCAAGAACCTATATCAGTGAAAAGGAAACAAAAAGATGGAACAATTGTAAACGTACCCTGTCCACAAGTATTACTTGATTATAATAAAAACATGAACTATGTAGACAATTTCGACAGATTAAAAGGAGATTATTCATTGGACAGAAAATCTGTTAAGTGGTATATGCGATTAGTGTTTCATTTTGTAGATTGTGCAATAACAAATAC